TCCTGGGGCTGCCTTTGCTGCATCCCAAAGATTTTCAACTGTAATGTTTTCATTTTCATTTATTTCCATGTATTTTTAAATTTCCTCTTTAATTTCCTGGTTGACCCATTTATTCTTCAGTAAGATGTTCTTTAACCTTCATGTATTTGTTGTCTTTATAATTTTTTTCATGTGGTTGACTTCAAGTTTCATAGTGTTTTGTTCTGAAAATATGTGTGGTATGATCTCAATCTTTTTGTACTGGTTCAGGTCTGATTTGTGACCCTGTATGTGGTCTATTCTGGAGAATGTTTCATGTGCACTGAAAAGAATGTGTATTCTGCTGCTTTAGGATAAAATGTTCTGAATATATGTTAAGTCAATCTGGTCCAGTGTGTCACTCAGAGCCATTGTTTCCTTGTTGATCTTCTGCTTAGATGATCTGTCCATTGCCATACGTAGGGTATTAAAATCTCCTACTATTATTGTATTATTATCCATGAGTTTCTTTATGTTTGTTATTAACTCTTTCATATATTCAGCTGCTTTCAAGTTGGGAACATAAATATTTAAAATTTTTACATCTTCTTGTTGGATAGATCCTTTTTATTATGATATAGCGCCTTTCTTCATCTCTTATTACAGCCTTTGGTTTAAAATCCAGTTTGATATAAGCATGGCTACTCCAGATTTCTTTTGATGTCCATTAGCATGATAGATGGTTCTCCAATCCCCTCGCTTTCAATCTGGAGGTATCTTTGGTTCTAAAATAATCTCTTGTAACTAGCATATCACTGGGTCTTTTTTTTGGGGGGGGGTCTTTTTTTTAAATCCATTCTCATACTCTGTGTCTTTTGATTGGAGAATTTAGTTCATTCACATTCAGAGTGATTATTGAAAGATATGAATTTAGTGCCATAATATTACCTATAATGTCTGCTATTTTTTTCTTTTTTTTTTCTCGGTAGCAGCCTTTATGTTTTGCTCTTGTTGAGTATCCAGACCTACTAAAGAGGAAACTGAAATCGAAGGGTCCCCCAGAAGTACAGTCAGAGGCCTCTCGGCAGCACACTCCCCACCTGGGCTAGGAAGAGGCTGCATCACCTGGAACTCTGCCAGGGTACTTCCCAGTCCCGTCCTGCCAAGAGTATCCCAGCTTTCTCCCCTGCTGTCCTCCCAATCCCCTGGGCTGTTTTTCAGGAAAGTTTGTTCCCATGTATTAAAGGAATGACATATACAGAAATGTCGTCTCCTGAGCCCAGTCAGTCATTAGATATCCACCATCCTCTGTCCTTTAGGACACCGCGGGCACGCATCACCAGGTCCTGAGCTGCCAGCGTGTACCTGTGAGGGTCATCTGGGTCACAGTTGGGAAGAAACTGAGTGACGGCCTCTGCCACTTCTTCATTGGATAAAACATCCCAGAGTCCATCAGTGGCCAAGATCAGCACAGACTATTCTTCTATATTGTCTCTGGTCCTTTCTAGTCTTTGTTGCTTTTGGTCTTTCTTTCCCACTCAAAGGGTCCCCTTTCATATTTCTTGCAGGGCTGGTTTAGTGTTCATGAACTATTTTAGTTTTGTTTGTCCTGGAAATTCTTCCTTTTTCTCTTTCTTCTTTCTTTCTTTCTTTCTTTCTTTCTTTCTTTCTTTCTTTCTTTCTTTCTTCTTTCTTTTTCTTCTTCTTTTTCTTCTTCTTTTTCTTCTTCTTTTTCTTCTTCTTCTTCTTCTTCTTCTTCTTCTTCTTCTTCTTCTTCTTCTTCTTCTTCTTTTCTTTCTTTTTTTAAGATTTTATTTATAGGACGCCTGGGTGGCTCAGCAGTTGAGTGTCTGCCTTCAGCTCAGGGCATGATCATGGGGTCCAGGATCGAGTCCCACATCAGGCTCCTTGTCTGCCTATGTCTCTGCCTCTCCCTGTGTGTCTCTCATGAATAAATAAATAAAATCTTTAAACATTTTTATTTATTTATTTGATAGAGAGTGAGAGTGAGAGAGAGCATGAGCAGGGCAGAGCGAGAGGAAGAAGCAGACTCCCCACTGAGCAGAAACCTGGGGTTCAATCCCAGGACCCTGGGAACATGACCTGAGCCTTAAGCAGACGCTTAACCAACTGAGTCACCCAGGGACCCCTGTTCTGGAAACTCCCCATCTCCTCTATTCTGAATGACAGCCTTGCTAGATAAAGTATGCTCATCTGCCTATTTTTCTCATTAAGCACATTGAATATATCATGCTATTCCCTTCTGGTCTGCCAAGTTTCTGTGGGCAGATGTACTGCTAAGCATAGGTGTCTACCTTGTAGTTTAAGGACCTTTTGTCCCTAGCTGCTTTCAGAATTCTCTCTTTATCTTTGTATTTTGCAAGTTTCACTATGATATGTCTTAGTGTTGACCTATTTTTGTTGATTTTGAGAGGGAGTTCTCTGTGACTCTTGGACTTGAATGTCTATCTCTTCCCCCAGGAAAGCAAACAATTTCCCTTCCTGTGTCCCAAGCTCTTATCAGATCCCCACCCCCAACCTATCTGTGCCCAGGCCATTGGCATACTCTGTTCTCTTATGTTTTCTCTCTGGCCAGCAGCTGGGATTCAAAACTCCAAATCATAAAGGACTCAGCAATGCATGGACCCACTCTCCTCTCCCAGAGGGGAATCTCAGAGCACTACACCCAGCGCCATTCTGTCTCAGAAAAGCAATTGCATGGCCACAAAAGTGTCTGGAGTCCATGGTGAAGCATAGTGAAAAGCTATGACCATGTTATCTGCCTTCTGTGCATGTCTCTGTGCCTGACTTTTGAATGGCTGCTCAGTGGCACCTGGTGGGTCTTTAATCCATGGAGAGGTAATATACCGTCTTCCGAATGTAATCCGGGAAGGGAAATGTTCTCTCCCAATGTGACTCAGGGGATCCCCACACCACAGCCTCATAGACAAAACCAGTGTACCACTCTATCTTCCATTCTCTCCTTCTCTCCTTCACTTCTCTCTATGGAAAGGGCTCCCTCCTCTCTATAGCACTGTGGATTTTCTCTTTCCCAATTCATGTCTCTGAAACTTGCATCTATCAAATTCCCTCCCTCCACAATTGTGCAGATTTTCTTAATCCTCAGATTGATTTCCTAGTTGTCAAAAATGATTTGATGCTGATCTAGCCGTATTCAAGGGATGAGGAGGCCTAGGGTCCCCCTTCTACTCTGCCATCCTAACTCCTCCAAAACATAGTAATTTAAATAAATGGTACTATCCAATAGTCTTCCTCTTTCTGAGACAATTCCACTAGAATGTGGTTCTGGTTCAAATCCTGAACCAAATAAATATATTTCTTTTTTTAATTTTATTTTTTTAATTTAAAATTTTTGGCTCAGCTCATAATCTCAAGGTCATGATATCAAGCCCTGCATCAGGTTCCATGCTCAGTATGGAGTTGGGTTGGTATTCTCTGCCCCTTCCCCTGCTTGCATGCACACTCTAAAATAAATAAATCTTTGAGATAAAGGGTCAATAAGAAATCATTTGATTATAATAGCATATCTAACATGTGACATGCATCCATGCTCTTTTGTATAATCATATTAGAATCAAGTATATTTATTTTCACATCCATTATAACTGCTATTGCAAAGGAAGAATATTGTCTTATTTTCCAAAAGATATACAGAGAACAATTTTTTTCTTCAGGGGATTCATGGAAACCTACATAAGATTTCATTTCTTCACAAAATGTGTAAAACAAGAGAAGCCTCTTCAGCTTCCATCCCATTTGAAGTCTGGAATGCTAATACTTCCCAGTTAGGCAACAGTTCATACCTGTAATCTGGCCCAGAGGTGCTTATTACATGTCTAAAGTAGGAGATATGATTTCTTTCCTATTTATCTGTCTGAGCAGATCATAAAATATCTCATTAATGTTGATCTTTGACTTTGCATAAGATTCTAAAAAGGTATAGTCACATCACTGTCATGTTAAATTCTGACCTATTCTTTGCCAACTACTCATTCATCTTCCAGGCCACATTTATTGGCAACCAAAATCATTAGAACATCCTCTGTGCCCTTCACCCATCAAATGGTCCCAAAAGTCATTAAACATGGGTCGAGCTATAATAGAATATACTAGTGCAAACCCTTGGCCATTCTTCATATACAAATCCCTCATCGCTGTAAATTTCTCTGTCCTGCTGTGTCCAGAATTTTGAATGTGTGCTGTTGGCAATCTACTTCAACTTGCTTTCTGTAGGAATCTTCTATCATTAGATCATATTTTTCAACAAAAATTCCAGGAACAAACTGAACTGTCACACCTCCTTAACCAAGGACTACTAGTTGGTACTCATGCACGATGTCTTTTTAAATACTGACATTCAGTGCCATTGAAGGTGCAGTGAGATACACACTGTTATATACAGGGTAACCACCCTCTGATCCAGTTATCCTAATTCTGAGAATCTATCCCCGCCTGCCCCACAGAGGTCCGGGCCTCCTCCTCCTCTGTGTAGTGGCTCCTGCTCTGGTTCAGCAGAAGCAGCATCACTGGCTGCACCTCCAGAACACACTTGCCCGTTTAATTTTTACCTAATCTTCTTTTTATGTTCCAGTTCCCATCCAGGATATATTATATTAGGTCATTTATTTTGTTGTTCAGATTGTCTTGTCTTTGACCATTGAGACCACTTTCAGTTGGCTTCTGTATCCCTTTGACATATTCCTATCAGGTTTGCTTTTTGAGCACTTTCTTACTTTCTGGCACAACAATGTGTGTGTGTGTGTCTGTGCATGTGTGTAATATAAAGGAAAATTATATAATGGGAAAGCAATATAACCTTTCAACATAATTACAAAAGCAAGGTATGGTAAATTGATGAATATTAGTATACAGTCATCAGCAACTAGGGCTTTGTATCTTGAATTGTTTTTAGTTCAGTTTCCTACTCACAACTTACTTTTAGCTTGGTTTAGAAGTTAACCAATGATTTTTTTGGTAACCTTGAATATTGTAAGTAAAATGAGAGAGTCAATGAATTTAGAATGATACACTTTTTATTTAAAGAGGAAACTGAGATACTGATGATGATATTATATTATCAAAGGACTATTCATTCAAAAAGCTCACACGTTAAAGAGGTAAATTTATAGGTTAAAAGAAGAAAATGAAAAAGAAGCAAGCAACTTTTATTTTTGAACTAGAATAACCTGCAGATTATAAAATACTAAGACCATTTTTACAGATGATAAATCACTAGTATCACAAGTTTTAGGGAAGAAATAGGAAGAAGTTGTTCTCACATTTCTGTTCTCTTATGTGTATTCACATTGGGAAAGATAATACTTGCTACTATTGTTCCTTATTCAGATTTAATCTTTCATTAAATAATAGGCAGCAATGGAAAAATGTATTGCACAACAACTTATTTATGAATATAAACCTGGCTGGTATATCCAGTATTATTTTTTATGAAATTCGATGTGCCCAGCAGTTAACACTTACTGAACTTGTGAGACATGAACAGAAAAAGGCTTTTACTGATTAGACTCTTATCTAAAATCCCAGGCATTTTAACCAAGTTGAACCTATTGACAGATGCTAGATTATCAGAATGATTCATGAGCCTAGAAAGTTGAAGGTAGTTTTCTCATTGAAAAAATAAAGATAAAAGAAAGATACATTGCTTAGGGGAAAAGAGTTAAAAGGATCAAAATCAGACACACTAGTGAATAGCTAGAAAAATAAAATGATTGTTTATCTTATCTTAGATGTATACAAGACCAATATTTCTCTTATATCTCAGGAGATACACATTTAGTTACAATATTAAAAACAAACAAAATATTGAGCTTCTAATAGGAAACCAAATCCTATCAGACACAGAATTACATGGAGTAACCTATTTCTTATATAGATATTGAGTTCTCCCCACCATAATATTTGATAAACAACAAAAATTTATTAAGCACATACCACATGTCAAGAAGTCTGCTAAGGACATACAAAGACGACTAAAAGAATACCTGAGCTCATAAATTCAGGGGTTACTGAAAGGAAAAAGTGATGGGTCATAGAAGGAAGAGAGGGAAATCAATATGAATGAAAGTCTATAATCTCATTGTAGGGAAAAGAGGACAGAGGATTAATGCTTTGGTATGAAAAACAAAAGATTCTTGGGCAATGTGAAGATGAGAGTTGTCAATCTCATCAGATTCTGAAGGCATCTCTAGATCCAGTTTTCCAAAGAAAACTGGAGCAATGACAAATGGACAGCTAAAAGTAGGTCATAATTATAGCAAAGAAAACAACAGCCACCATAAACCTGACCATTGTTATTGTTGAAGTCGTGGAATTACTGCTTTCAATTATTCTGGTCATCATTGGCTTCCTGATACGATCTTCTGTGCTGAGAATAGCTTTTCGGGCACCATCCCATTTTCCAGGGCCTTGTAGACGATACTGGATTGGAGTACAGGGTCCCCAAAATAGCTGTATTGCCAGTTTGGGGTCAGTGAAGGCCAGAGACAGCAGATTGGGCCTGACACCCACCAGATCAGCAAGCTCTTCCATGGTATCTATATAGTCTCCCTGAATAGTATGGCGTTGGCTCTCCACATACCTGAAACAGGGAAGACAAAAACCATGGCCTATCATCAATTCAATCAATCAGTCAATTATTCAATGCTTCTGAATACCTGTTATTGGTTCCATATTTGGCTAGGAGCTGTAGAAAACAGAGAAGAAAGACAAGACATTGTCCCCAATCTTAAGGATCTTATATAATCTACTGGGGGATATAACATATGTACACATGAGGGAGAAAGGAATATAAGACTTTTAATATATTGTATGGTTTTGTATTGCTAAATAGAAATGTTAGAGGAGGGTAGTTAAAATAGAGCAATAAGTCCTTGAAGGATGTGGAGGATATATCTGATAGCAAATGACAAAGTGTTACAAGTCAGGGGAGCAGCAGAGTGAAGGAATAAAGTACCAATAAGTGTGAAAAATGAGCATGGAATATCTATGGGTACTACCTATGGTAAAAGAGGCATGTTGTAGAAAGCAAGGATTGATAAAGAGTCAAATATAGCAGATACAGATACAGAAAACTCTGATGTTATGAGAGTACTCATCACCAAAATTCTCAGATTTGGGATTTTCAATTGTTTTATGAGGGCAGTGGTAGTGGGGTCCACAGACCCAGGGCCAGTGCTAATTTGGAATCCTAAAAGGAGGGGGAGAATGACTTATCCCACAAGAGGAAGTGGCTGTCCAAACAGAACCAGATGGAGTGATTACACCAAATGCAGATTTGAAGAGCTAGAACTTTTTATGAGAAAATATGGTAACAGATACTTGCGGAAGGAATGTGATTTAGAGAGCTAACTGAGGGACGCCTGGGTGGCTCAGTGGTTGAGCCTTCTGCCTTGGCTCAAGGCATGATCCTGTGATCTGGATGGAGTCCCGCATTGGGCTCCCTGCAGGGAGCCTGCTTCTCCTTCTGCCTATGTCTCTGCCTCTCTCTCTGTGTCTCTCATGAATAAGGAAATAAATCTTTAAAAAAAAAAAGAGAGAGAGAGAGAGCTAACTGATAACTCTTTTTACTTCCCATAAGGAAAATAAATTATAGTAGGACAGAAAGGAAGTAGGAGAAAAGCCAAGTCAAACTAATTGAGATTAGATGGGGAATCCAAAAACAAGGACAGGAAAAAATGATAGAAAATAAATTTGAGGTAGAATCGATAAGATGGAATTCCAGAGGAACTAACAGATGGTCAAATTGGAATTTATTGAAATGGGACTAATTTCATGGAAATGGGACGAAACAGGAAAGAATTTGAGAGCCTCCCCTTATGGATGTTATATTGGCTCAAGGGTCTCTCTCTCTAGGCCTTTATCCTCTAGGCATTTACCCTATAGTAGTTGAGTCAAGAGCTGAGTATTCATGAAGGTTTCACAACCGGGATTCACTGGTACCAGCCTTATAGGGTTGTTGCAAGGATTAAATAAACTCATGTGTATGAAACACTCTGTGTACAAAGGTGATCCTTATATTCTATCTTTGGGGACTGCTTACAGTCAGAAGGTAGACAAAAGTAAGTCAAAGGAAAGAGAGGAGGAAAGTTGAAATAGGATAGTTTACTGCCAGAAAATCGAGGAAAGTAAGCACTCTATGAAGGAAGAGACATTTAGAAGCACCAAACTCAGAGGTAGAAGAAAAATGGGGTTGGTCATGGATGACCTTCAAGACAGCAGTTGTAGAATTAAGGATGGAAGTTATAATGCAGGAGGGTTAGGAGAGAGAAAAGAGTGAGAATTTAGAGCATATATTATAGAATATTTCTTGTAGAAATTGGCAGTGAAATTAAGAAGAGAAATAGAGTACCTAGAAAGGATATCAGGGTTAACGTAAGCTTTCTCCTCTTGCCAGATAGGGGAGAGTTATGCTAGTGCAATCAATTAAAGAAGACTACCTCTTTGGCCTTGGAATGACTGTACCTCTGACTTTTCTATAAAAATTTAGAACTTACCATCAACTTCCACTTTGTCCAAATGAAAATCATCCAGTGAATAAACTCAAGTTCTGAAATTCAGATTGCTGACTTACCATGTTTACCCAAGCAACTAGTTGATGTTACCACCTTCCCAAATCACACTCATGAGCCACTATGACCTGGATATGTTGTCACATGATGACAGCCAGCAAAGTAGCCTATACGAATTTATAAATCTACCTACAGATTTGTAACTGGACCATATCTTCCTCCCATTAATTCATTGACATTCTTTCTTTGTTTGGGAGCTCCACCTAGCATTTCAAGCAATCCTACCAAAATTAATATACCTGATTTTCTCTCCATGTGCTTTTTCCTACTTGACTTTTCTTTTAGGTTCTAATCATAGGCTTTTAAATGCTTTTCTCTCCTTTTCCATGCATATTCAAACCACTTGGTGCTATTTCTCCATTTTATTGTCACAAAGTATTACTTCCCTTCCCTTCAAAATATAATCTAAATCCTTCAAGTAACACAAGGAAGATTAAATATAATAGGGGCATGTCAGTGGCACAGTTGGTTATCTGACTTTTTCTTTTTAAGATTTTATTTATTTATTCATGATAGACACACAGAAAGAGGCAGAGACATAGGCAGAGGGAGAAGCAGGCTCCCTGCAGGGAGCCCGATGCAGGACTCCGAGATCATGACCTGAGCCGAAGGCAGACGCTCAACCACTGAGCTACCCAGGCGTCCCAAGTATCTGACTCTTGGTTTCGGCTCAGGTTGTGATCTCAGAATGGTGGGATCGAGCCCTAAGTCAGGCTCCATGTGCAGTACGGAGTCTGCTTAAGACTCTTCCATTCCCTCTGTCCTTCCCTGCTGCATGTGCTTTCTCATATAAGCAAATATTTTTAAAAATTAATATAGTGCAATATCACTCTAATTAAGAGCTAACAAAGTAGAAAATTAATCACAAACCCTCCTGGGAGAATTTCTTACCTTTTATCAATTTTATCTTGAGCCTTAGTTATTTCTGCTTTCATTTCACTTTCTGAGGGCAATGTCTTTAGCCCTAAAGAGGAAAATAAAAATTTTAAGTGTAAAATTACCTCACTGGGAACAAAAATTCTATAATTACTATGCATGGAGAACTCAAAGAAATAGAGGATAGTTTTCCATAACCAAGGAGGTTACAGTCCACTTGATCACCTTAGCCTATCACCACCACAATATGACATTATTGACAGTAACTTACTCTATTCTACTTTGTCTTTGCAAGATATTTCTCCTATTCTGCCTTCTAACCAATATCTTCCTCCTCCTTAACATCATCTTCCTCATTGGGAAATGAAATAATCGACATGAGGAAATGATAAATCATCCCAAAAGTATGTGAAAAATAAGGAAGTAAAAGGGCAGAGTAGGGGAACCACATCCACATTTGTACTCTTTGTAACAAAGACGCTTTATACCACAGAGAGAAAGATGGAAAAATAAACTCTTGATCCCATTTTCTACCAAAAGTCCTATAAAGATAAGTGTTTTCCTATTCTGTTTGGATTCTTCACAATTTCAGAGGCAGCCCATTCCATCTTAAAATGGCAATAGCTGACAAAAAAAAAAAAAAAAACAACAAAGTTGGCATGTTTCTTTTTAATGTTAAGCTGATTTTGTGCAACTCTTTTAAGTTTCACTCCTTGATTCTGATTCAACCATTTGAAATGATAATGATAAGCAAATAATATTCTTTTGCTATGGGACATTCTTCAAACATTTGAAGGGAATTCTACAATCTTCCCTGAATCTTATCTTCTCTAGGTAAACCTCTCTGGCTCCTTCAGTTGTACTTCAGATTCTTTCATCAATCTTGTCTCTCTCCTTTTCATGCACTCCAGTTTCACTATTAAAATATCTTTGGCAAAAATTTTTTTTAAATAAAAAATAAATAATAAAATTAAATTTAAAAAATAAATTAAATTAAAATAATAAAATAAAGTCTTTGGTTAAGTGCTGACCAGTTTAGAGAGGAACAATTGTAAGTTATAGGACATTATAATTATTTAATGATGCTAGATATAATCAAGCCTTGTGGAAGCCATATCATTCTCCTGACTCATAACAAGCCTACTATCCCAAACCCCAAAGTTTTTTCTCATGTTCTCCTTGCCAAAACTTAAAGAGGGAATATAAAAGGGGGAAAAGTAGGAATTTGAGAGGTTGATCTTAACCATTCTGGACTAGTCTCTGACCAGGTCTTAATTTTTGACACATTGAAATCAATGGAGGAATATTTTCTCAGAGATCTTATGTCTGCCTCACCTTAGATTTATTACATAAACACCACCAGGCAAAGCATACCTATTTTGGGACAATTTCCCAGGAGATTCTAATATATGTCTACGGTTATAAGTTATTACTTTACATTCACTCAAAAATAATTTTTGAGTACTAATTTTTTTGACAGGTACTGTTACAGTCATACATACTGTTTCAGCTATTTTAAAAGCAAGAACATAATTAAACATACCCACTAGGTAGTTAGGTAGTCAACTTGCGTGGTCACCTACCTTTAAATACTTGAATGACCCAGCGTCCTTGCAGCTCTGAAATAGGCATAATGGCACCCAAAGGCTGGATCAAGCCTATGATTGCAAGAGTTGGCTTTTCCAGGTTAGGAGGGAATACCTTTTTATAAAGGGATATCTTGTTTTTTACTACTGGGACAGAATCTTCAAGAAAAGGGAAGGCAAAGGTATAGCCTGTGGCAAAGATAACAGCATCAATGTTGTCTTCCCTGGAGCCATCCTCAAATATGGCAGCTGTCTCTGTGAATTCCTTCACATTTCCTTTCACCTTCACCAAGCCAGAAATTATACGATTTGGCAGGTCATCATTCACTGTTGGATGCTGACTCAGAGCTCTGTGAATAAAGACCAGAAGAAGGAGATAGGAGAGAAAGGAAAAAAATGAGACCAGTAACATGTAAACAAAATTTTACTTTGATGAAGATTCTTTCTCTCTTGGTGTATCCATGAAGTTTGGGAAAGGTCTAGCATATACCAGCTTGGCACAGATCAGGATCTCAGAGCAGAAGTTGGGCCCTGGATGGCAGTGAAAGAGAAGACATTGGAGAAGTAAAAGAAGAATGGTCTTATCTGAAGAGTATATATATGGTTTCTCAAGGAATAGTAGTAATATTCTCAGTGATATAAGGTCACAGGCCTATAGTTTCTATCCACATATCAGTAAGTCTGGAAAACTGAACTATCTGTACTCTTGAGTCTCATATAGTTTCAAAGACCCAAGGGCTAGAATTAGACCATCATTTTCCAAACTGTATAATAAATTACATGTATATAGTAATTTATAGTTATAAATTGATTATATATACATTTGAGTCTCACACAAAAGCAAAAAAAGCAGAACAGGTGTCATTATCTAGGTTTAGAGGTGAGGAAATTGAGGCCTAAAGAAGTTAAGTGGCTTGCCCAAGGTTACACAGACTAGGATTTTAGAATTTACATGAAAATGGTTTTCTATGAATTTCCTTGGGAGCCACTGAGTCTGTTAAGCAGTATTTTCCAGAAACAGCATAGGATAAGGGTGCCGAAAAAAATAGGATTTCCGTTGTCTTGGACCTTTCTAAAAATCAGTCTGGGTCCTTGGACCCTTAGTTAACAGGCTCTGAGAATTCTCAGCCCATCATGTTTAGATAGAGCTGGCCTAGCCTCAGGAACATGGCATTACTATCACTGGTTTGTTGCATTTGGTTATGCTTTGACTCTAACCTTTTAGATACAGATTCTGTTCCCATTCTGACCTCATGATTTTATATTTTTCTCCAAACTACTGCATTTCACAAACCATAACACCATCTACATAGTTGCCCAAGCCACAAAACTGTGAGTCTTAATATCTGGTCGCATGGGCTTTTCCCTTTCTCCACTTAACATCCCCAGAATAGTTTTATCTATTTTCTATCTTATCTAGACTATTAAAATTGTCTTTAGGGCCTGCTGCTCCATCTCCCTCAGTCTGTCTTCTACATCATTTTTGGAGTGGTTGTTCCAAAATATATTTATTTGTTTATTTTTCAAAAATATATTTATTATTAGTCACTCACTTGCTTGAAATCTTTTAATGGCTCTGGACTGTCTTTATTCCACATATTTTATTTAGCAGAGTATACAAAAGTTTTAATGTATCTGTCCAGTGAGGCTAGAGATGTACTCAATCACTCTTTTCATCTTTGTCGTTTTATTATAGTCCAGCCAAACCAGACTACATGAAGTTCCAGAGAAAAATGTATTTTTCATATTCTAAGACCTTGTACTTATAACTAGAATGCTACTTCCTTACCCTATTTACTTGACTAGCTCCTATTATTCCAGCCTTAATTAATTTTGTAATCACCAATGTTATAAATGCTAGTTTCCATAAATGGGTGAAATAAATGAGTGAAAGATTGTTGAGGAGCATAGTCTCAAAGTATCACCCCACTGATCAAAGGAAAAAAGTCTTTGCAAAGGAGAAACCTAGGGGCACTTGGGTGGCTCAGTGATTGAGCATCTGCTTTTGGCTCAGGTCATGGTTCTGGGGTCCGGGATCAAGTCCCACATCAGGCTCCCTGCAGGGAGCCTGCTTCTCCTTCTGCCTATGTGTCTGCCTCTCTCTGTATATCTCTCATTAATAAATAAATAAAATCTAAAAAAAAACAAAACAAAACAAAGGAGAAACCTGGTAGGTGCCACCTTAACCAGGTGATCAAATTTAATATCATTAATGCTGATAAACTGATATCATATGAATGCTGTCATGATCCACAAAGAAGGCACAATGTAGCCTATGAGAATTTGTGCCAGAATGTTTAACCTGAATACAGTAAAGGTACAACAACTATGCAAGTCCAAGCTTAGAGCTTTTCTATAAAACAATTGGCTCAATTCTTCTTAAAAAAGTGTATGTCAAAAAAATGGTGAATTATTGAAGAAGAGAGATTAAAGAGACATGACCATTAAATGCCATGGGATAATACCTAAAAGGATTCCAGATTTAAAAATAAAAGAGCTGTACATGATACTTTTGGGACAATTTAGGAAATTTGAATATGTGAATTATTAGATAATAGTATTTTATCAATGCTGAATTTCCTGTGTGGTCACTATGTTATGTTTATGTGGGGGAATGCCCTACTTCTTAGGCAATATATGTTGAAGAATGTAGGGTAAAGTGTCTAAGTGACTGTGACTTACTCTCAAATGGTTCAGGAAAAAATATGTATGTATGCATCTGTGGATCGATGGATGCTGAATATACAGGGATTTATCTATCTTCAGAGAGAGGGAGAAAGAGAAAACAAACATAGCAAACTATTGATAGGTGAATCTAAGTAAAAGGTATATAGGCACTCTGTACTTACTGTTTTGTAGTAAGTAAATCTAAACATTTAAAAAAAAAGTTGGGAAAAAGCATTTAAAATCAGCCTCTAGAAATGCTTTCACAGTCTACCTCCTTGACTATGTGAGGACTGCCACTTCATACCCCCATAGCACTCCATGTATTTATCATATTCTATTGCCTGTCTTCTCCTTAGAGTATTTAAGGTAAGATCCATTTCTCGAGTCTGACATTTATTTCTTGTGTGACAAATTAATTTTTCTGTCAGTTTTTATATCTGCAAAATGAAGATTAAAAAATAGTACTAACCTTAGAGTTGTTGTGAGGACTAAATGAGTTCATATATGTAACTCATTTACCCATGTGCTTATGTTAAGTACTCAGAAAAGTAAGGTGTTATTATTTGTATTAGTATTACTATTAGGTCTTTAGTCTCTATTCTCATGCACAGAATGAGAATTATACTTGGCTCATAACAGGTGCTCACTGTTTGTTGGATGAATGAATGAATGAATGATACACAGCCATCATCTACCATTTTGTTGTTGTTACTGGGTATCATGTAAAAAGAGCTTGTATCTGAGACAATGATAAAATGAATAATGCCAAGGAGAATCATAGGTTGAAGATTACAGATGAGTAGATCTTGGACTTCTAAAGGGGCAAGGTAGAAATCTGATCTCAGATCTGTGGATTTTCTTAATGTACAGATAGAAGTAGCTATACTGTTAGCCTGTGTGAACAGTCCTTATTCTTGTGCCTTGGCTATCACTGCCCTGCTACCATCGTGGCAACATACCTGTGTTTAGGCTTTAGACCAAACATTTCATGGTCAAACCTTTGGTTCATCTTTTTCTCCAAAAAATTGTTTATTAATGATTGACCACAAATCTTCGAAAGAAAATAATTAAATCGAGAAGAGAGTAACACATCAAAAGGATATCCATAGTCTGCTACACGATTGAGGATCCAAGCCCCTCTCCTGGTGCTGAGGAAAACCTGGGGCATGGGAAAAAAATTATTTGCTTTTGCCATCCTCTGCTCATAATCCTTTAATAGCACCTCACTCCCTTCAAGATTAAGTTTAAACTCTGTCTTTTTAGTCCCTGCACAATCTTTTTTTAATTTCTTGCAATTTTCCTTTTGAAACACTAAGTATACAATTAAATTAGTACATTCACTAACCAATAATCTTTCTCTGAACCACCACTGCATTTGTTTAATGTCATTATGCCTCCTTGAAAAGTCACCTAATCTCTTAATTCTCCAAAGCCTTTTTAAGATCAGATCAAGTGTTCCTCCTCCATAAGACACCACTGACTGTTTTACATGACAATTTTCTCTCCATCCTCTGAGCTTCTCTAGCATTTACCACTTGTCCAACTTATTTAAAATCAAGAAGCAGTAGAGTGGAAAGCAACTGGACATCATCTAATCTAAAACCCTTACAGTCTTTTTTGCTTTTGACATTATTTGCATTACCTAAAAAACCCCACTATTTATCATTTATATTGCTATTAAACTTTTTACACTCTTATTTCTGTCCTGCAAATGTGCTTCCTCCAGGGTGGGAGGTACAGCATACATGTCTTTTAGTCTCCCCAACACATCATCATCATTATTTCCATTGATTGAGAATTGTGGCCTGCAAGTCACTATGCCAGGTCCTTTATCTATATTCTTATTTAATCAATGTAACAACCTCTTAAAGTAGATATTATTATCCTCATTTAACAATGAGAGGCATGAAGACGATGAATAACTTGCCTGAGATCATACAGTTAGTATGTGGCAGAGTTGAATTTCCAACCCAGGTCTGACAACCCCAAAGCATGTGCTTGAAGAAATGTTTCATTGATTATTTAATGGAAAAACTGCAGATCACTAGTAAAACAACAGGAAACTGATCAGTCTTTATGTGTCCTCTGCTGGCTAAAGTCCACGTTCAGAGCTGATAAAGTTTTGACATTCAACTACCTGGTGAAAGTGTCCCTTTCCATTCAAAACTCTCAGGATACAGTTTCCAGGATTGTAAGGTATAACACCTGCTTTATAGTCTTTTGCGTAAGCTCTCATATAAAAAAGTGATCAGTCTACAGAGGGATAATAATGTACTTCACTCATACATTCTCACTGATGGTAACCGTATATACTTTGATGATTAAGCTGTTTTACATGTCACAGTTCAATGAGCATGCGTGGTCTCAGGAACACACAGCTTTGTGTGCAGTCTGTATAACTTCTGTTATATAAATATGTGAATAATATAAATGCTCAGAGTCTCAATTAAAAGATTCCCTATGTATAAAGTAGTGAAAATAATACATCACAAGGCTGTTGTGAGAATTAAATAGTGTTTTTGCAAAGGGTGGAGCATATAGTAAACATTCAATAAATGCTTAATGGCTATCATCATACTTCTAAATTCAGTTTTCCATCTGTACCTGATTTTAAGCACACACTGTATTTACAAATCCAGATTTATAAGAAAAAAATGTAAGGAAGATTGTTTTATAAGAAATGTATGTCTTCTAGAACTTTACAAAAGCATTATACCACAAAACTTATTATACCAAAACTTCCCTGATATGCTGAAACTTTTAGGTCCATTAAAAGTTTTTTGATCTACAAACAACTTCTAATAAATACAATTTAATATATAAAGCAAAAAGTTAGAACCTGGCATTTGTGTTTCTTTGGCTTGCATTAGTGGTGTGCTGGTGTTGCCCCTGCCATGCAGACATGGTTGTGCTGTGTGTTGTCCCCAGGCTTTCTCAGACACAGCCACATATCTCCACCCACTCCAGACGCTTTGTTCTTTTTTTTTTTTAGATTTTATTTATTTATTCATAGAGACACAGGAAGAAGCAGGCTCCATGCAGAGAGTCTGACGTGGGACTTGATCCAGGGTCTCCAGGATCACGCCCTGGGCTGCAGGCGGCACTAAACCGCTGCGCCACCAGGGCTGCCCTGGATGCTTTGTTCTTTAGCAATCTAGAGTTCTCCCTGCATGGAAGGCCCAGCTTCCTTATAACTGACCATTCGATAAGCCAGTGATATTAATGTTAAAGATATTAAGGTGATATTAAAGCCAGTGACTCATGCTTTGGGTCACCATAAACATACCTTGCACACTCTTTTATCGTAACACCCATACAAATTTTTACCCTTTTTTGTTTATATACCTATTTTCTGATAAAACTGGTTGAATTAATTTATGGAGTAATATATGGAATTACTTTTGTGGCGATAGATGGGGACAATACTGAGAAGAAGTGCTATTGAATGGAGTTTCTGGGTAAATCATTTAACAAAGTTGTGGCATTAAACTCCCATTTAAAAACATTTAAAACATATTTGTGAAGGAACACAGCTTAATTAAAGTTGCTGGAAAACGACCAGACACTTGCCTATTGCCAATAAAGTTATTCAGTAAAGACATGAATAACAAGATATAACAATGACATGTCTTTTTCTGGGAATTTATAATGAAGACATTTTCTTCCCAGTTCAAAATCTATGATTCAAGAAAACAAAACAAAACAAAAAACCTCTAGGACATAGAAACTACTTAAGTATGAATGTCATTCTGTTACCTAACTGTATGTAAAGGCTGGGGTGAACTCCTTGCACAAGTGCATGCTACAGCATGGATGCTTTTCATACGTATATCCATGTTCTTTGGAAAGATTAGAGTGTTTCTATTTTCAATTGGGGAGTGAAAAGGAAAATCCTATGAGTGCAAAGTCTTCCACTAAACCAGTGTGCTTTCCTTCACATAAGAGTGTGGCACTTCTGGTGGCCTAAACAGGAGCATTCTGAATGCTGCGTTCAACCAGGCAACTGCTTAAGTCAGAGGCATACTCAGAAGAGACAGCTGACTGGGATCCTTGGGATTATTTAGTGTGAGGTCAACTAAATGATGGGAATCTAACAGGGAACACTGGCTCCATCATATCATCATCATAATGTTGCTAACTGAAGCAACAGAGCCAAGCCCTGTTTGCCATTAGCACTGATGGGCTATGTGTGGAGGTATCCGTACTCTATGGTGGGTCCACATACAGCTTCCTTGGTGAAGCAAAGTAAATAATTAACTGATTCAAACCTGCTTGGCTGTGTGGCAAATTTCCACAGCCAGATCCCCTCCAGAATTCCCAATGCCAATTATAATGACTCTCTTTCCAGCAAAAATCTCTGGATTCTTATAGTCTCGGCTATGGAAGTACTGTCCTTTGAATTTCTCAATTCCTGAAAGAGAAGGGAAAATAATTATTGGACAAGGTTTATCTGCTCTCATTTGTCAAACCATTCATTTTGCTGGCAGTGTGTAGAGTTTAAGCACACATCTCCATATAGTCTTCCTTTACTCAACTGCACACTTGCCTTTCTGAATACTTTTGCCTATTTTCTTTTCTCGCAGTCTCAGAGCAGAACCTTGTGACTTTCTTATCATGAATAGCCTGCTTACCTCAGGATCTGTTTGTATTTTGGACTTGTAGACTCTCAAATCCACACTGCTGCAGAAAATATCCTTTATCCTTTGTTTTTTCATCTTTAAATACCTACTCCCATTTCAGTTGGAGTATATATGTTTTCATATACTCTAGAGTATACAGAGTGCTTTTTTTTCAAAATGAAAATCTAGGTCAAAGACTATAATGAAATTCTTTATGTTTTCATTTCTTCCTTAGAAACTCAATCTTTGTTTCCTTGATTGCTGAAAAAGTCCTTATTCAACCTAATATGGATCAATTCCATGTTTTCTTTTGATCCTTAGAAAAACTAAGGTTGTTGTGAAACCGAAGATAGAGCCCTCTAATTGTTCTCTTGTCTCCAAAATGAATGTTATTTCTATCTCCCAAATGGCAGTAATCAAAGTTACCCCAACATCTTTCAGAGGAACACGTAGAATTAGGATTAGCCTTATCTCATCTGAAGGTAGGAATCACTCAAGCCACAATCCTCCCATTCCTCAGAGATCAGGTCACAGGCATGGTTCAAGGGTCTCCTTCCTTGTAGGCTACTCACCAGGAAAGCTTTCCAAGGGTAAGTGAGCATTGGTGTGATGGCCAGTGCAAACCATGACTCCATCAAAAACATGTACCTCCTTTTTCCCTTCAGATTCTGTAACTACCTCCCATTGGCCTGACGTGGAGAAATCAGGCTGCTTCTTCACACTGCACACAGTGGTCTGGAAAGAAAAGTGATAGCTATAGGAGACTAACCACAGCCAATACAGTGGACATCTTCCCTGACATAACTCTCTTTGCAGAGTGTTACACAAGGCTGATATCACATAATAGAGCCCATGTAGGGATATTTGATTTTCATATTCCACACATAAGAACTTTTTGGTCTGGGCTGTGGTCAGAGTGAGAAAACTCCTATGAAGTAGGCTAAATAAAATAGTTGGCAGGTTAACATTGCACTCTCCTCTGCTTTTAGAAGTGTGCAAACTACTAGTTCTCTTAGACCATGCCCTAAGATGTCATGTGACACTTGAACAGAACTTGGACTTCTGTGCTTCTAAGACCTTCCATGCACTTAATGCCTATTCCTCTCCTGACCCCTGGACATCTTCTTACCTCAAGTTCTGTTCTCACTGTCTAGTCTTAAACTTGTGACTGAGTCATAGGACTGTCTCTCTTAGAGTATAGAAACATCCCAGTGGCTCATATTTTATGAAAATGAACCTCTCTTTGGCTCCCTTAATGCCCATTTTACAAGTAATTATAAATTTTTATTTATTTATTTATTTATTTATTTATTTATTTATTTATTTATTTATGATAGTCACACACACAGAGAGAGAGAGAGAGAGAGAGAGAGAGAGAGAGAGAGAGAGAGAGGCAGAGACACAGGCAGAGGGAGAAGCAGGCTCCATGCACCGGAAGCCCGACGTGGGATTCGATCCCGGATCTCCAGGATCGCGCCCTGGGCCAAAGGCAGGCGCTAAACCACTGCGCCACCCAGGGATCCCTTTACAAGTAATTATAAAGAAAGAGGCTGTAAGATAGGATAGTCAGTGGTATAATTTTTAGGTTTTAAAAAATGCATTATTCTGTCCAGCCTAAGGAAACATTAGGAATATGTTCCTATGTAGTTCTAGGGTCTCTGACTATAATGTCTTGGTGGACTCAGAGATACCACTTCTGTATACCCTAGTCATCCTGCAGTATTTACAGTTCTTCTCCATAATGTTCTTGCTTTTACACAGGTTCATGTCTCTGTGTGGATCATCCTTTTATTCCTTCTTCATTTGGCAGATTCCTACTTACCTTTCAACATTTAGTTTATATATTATCTCCTCTAAGAAAACTTCCCTTGGGCCTATTGTCTCATGCCCTGATGAGTTAAGCACCCTTCCTCTGAGCTAACAATATATAAATCACTGGGCATTTATTACCCTGTGACTCTTTACTTTTTTTTTGGTTAAATTTATGAAAAATTTTTTCTTTATTTTTATATCTACTAACCATGCTATGAAGTCAGCTTTTTTTGTTTTTATATCTCCATTGACTAGTATGGTAACAAATTTGTTAAACGTGTTTAAACAAGTAAAAGGAAGTCACTGAGCTATAAATTACTTACTTTGGAGGTTGTTACTGCCAATTTATTATCATTGTTAAACAGAAAAAAACATGATTTAGCAGAATGATCAGAAGGTAGAAGGGAGGTGGGGGTGGGGAATTGAATGAAGGTAGTCAAGAGGTACAAAATTCCTGTTATAAGATAAATAGGTACTGGGGATACAATAATATACAACATGATGACTATAGATAATACTACTGTATGGTATATTTGAAAATTGTTAAGAAATCCTAATAGTTCTCATCACAAGGGGAAAAAAGGGTAGAATATTTAGGCTTTTTTGCCAGCTGTCAGAAATATCTGTTCTTCTATGGCCATGGTTAAAGATGATGGAAAATTATGGAAGACTTAACAACATAAAGAAAGCATTGGAGTGATCTAATATAATCATCTTGTTTTACAGACAAGAAAAAAAAGAGTTGAGGAATTTACTTGTCTGAAGTCACAAGTTGATTAGTCGTAGAGCAAAGACTAGAACTCAAGTTTTTGTTCCCCAATTCAATGTTCTTCCCCCTATACAAGACTTAACTTCTTGGCTTCCTCAATAACTTCCCAATAACTACCTCACTGGGTTATTATCACATAAAAATAAAGCATTGGCAAGTACTTCAAAAAGCATAAAAGGGCTAAGCAGTAGCGGACAAGTGGTGGATTCAGAAGTTTTAATTTCCCATACCCCAAATGAATGAGAACATAAAATAGTGAAAGGGAATAAAGAGGAAAGGAGAAAAAAAAATGAGTGGGAAATATCAGAGAGGGAGACAGAACATGAGAGACTCCTAACTCTGGGAAACGAACAAAGGGTGGTGGAAAGGGAGGTGGGCGGGGGGGTGCGTGTGACTGGGTGACAGGCACTGAGGGATGGGATGAGCACTGGGTGTTATGCTATATGTTGGCAAATTGAACTCCAATAAAAAATAAAAAATAAAAAAAGTTCCCATACCTGTCAATTACCCTCTCTAACTGGGAAAACATTTCCCCTCATTTATTTTATTTCAATCGAATAGTATAGTATAGTATAAAGTGAAGGAATGAAAATATTCTGGTGGGTGGCTTCTAGGATCTGTAGCTAAAATATAGAAAATGGACCTTGGGACGCCTGGGTGGCTCAGTGGTTGGGCGCCTGCCTTCGGTTCAGGTCTGATCCCACGATGCGGGATCGAGTCCCATATCAGACTCCCTGTGAGGAGCCTGCTACTCTCTCTGCCTATGTCTCTGCCTCTCTCTCTCTCAGTCTGTGTCTATCATGAATAAATAGATAAATCTTAAAAAAAAGAAAAGAAAATGGACCTTTCCATGAATATATTTCAGGCACACAGAAGACAAAAAAAATGGAGTCTTTGTCTGGATAGGATAGATACATGGGGATATTAAATCACTCTTTACATGTAAGCCCCGGTCAATGAAACCATATTATTCATTTATTTGACAAACAACTTTGAACACAAAGACACCCACAATATTCCCTACCTTCAATTGAATATACTTTAGAAGATCAAATTCTTTCGCATACATCCTAAAATATTCGAGGACCTGGGAGTTATGCATGAAGTTGGGATAATGATCTGGGATGGGATAGTCACTGAAGCACATCATCTCCTTAGATGTGTTGATGATCACTGATTTGTAAATACTGGCCCTTCCTTCTTCAGGATTTTCCTGCATTAAATAAGAAGCATACATAGCAACCTGAGAATTAACTTCACAGTTTACAAACAGTCAATAAACATTTGAAAAACTTTTCTGAAAAAAATACCAATTTAAAAAGTTATACACACACACATACACACACACACACACATCCCTCCACATCTCCCAATATTTGTGCCCTTGTGTAGTCTCTTCCCCCTTGAATCTGAGTTGTCTTTGTGACTTGGTTTTGACCAACAGCATGTAGTTGGAATGATACCAAAAAGCCTTCAAGAGAGTTCTAAGTAGTCTTACGGCTTCTGCCCTCTGTCTCTTAGCTTGATCTGGTAGAAATCAGCAGCTATGTAAGAAGTCCAACCACCTTAAGCTACTATTCTGTAAGCCCAAGTCAGACAAATGAAGAGCATGTTTGAGATACAGAGATGTGCAGCCAGCCCCCAGAAATTCCATTTATCCCAGCTGAAGTTCTAAACATGTGAACAAAGAAACCATAGCAGATGTACAGTCTCAGTAGTCACTTAATTGCAATGACATAAGATTCCAAGTGAGAACTGCTCATCTGAATAATAGTCTTACAAATATTTTATATATTTCAACACCTCGGTGAGTTTCAAGGTTCATCATACACTGGTGAGACTGCTCTCCAGGAAACATTATACTAACTCCTATTCTCTCCAGAATACGTTGCCATGTCACCTCATTTTTACTCATTTAAAAGACTGTTAGTCGGTGTTAGGACAAACAGAAACTTATGAAATGGGAATGTATGCTGGAGAGTGTAGTTAGTACAATGTTTTCTGGAGAGCAATGTCGCAAGTATATGAAAACCCCTGAAATTTACTCAGCCTTTTTAAGAAAAATTCAGCAAAGTAGACAAAGTTATGTTAAATGCTATTAAAGATTGCATTATTTATAGAAAAGAAATAAGCTAAATGCCTGTGATATTGTGACTTATAAGAAATATATGTTTGGTCATTCAGACAACCAAAATGTATCTCTCCTATGTATTTGGTCTTTGTATACATTTTGCATATTTTTGTGGACTTGCCCGTAGTTCCTGACTCTTAGCTCCCCAAACCCTTGGAGTTTCCTACATGTTAAGAATGATAAAGATGTCTTTTGTTGTGTTAATGAGGTGACTTTAGGAAACCACTTAAGGATAGGGACTGATTGCCAAAGGAGCCAACCAAGGGGCACCTGAGTGGCTCAGTCAGTTAAGTATGCAACTCTTGATTTTTGGCTCAGGTCATAATCTCAGGGTTGTGAGATTGAGTCCCGCACTGGACTCCAGCTGAGTGGGGAGTCCACTTGAGATTCTTTCTCTCCCTCTCCTTCTGCCCCTCCTCACCATACATATGCTCTCTCTCTCTCAAAAAAAAAAAAAAAAAAAAAAAGAGCCAACCAAGTTGATTAGAGGGCTGGAACTTTCAGTTACTCCACCCTGAACTTTGGGGAGGAGAGAGAGGCTGGAAGTTGAATAAACTGTCAAGGCCATGATTTAATAATGTCATCAACCATGCCTACGTAATGAAGCCTTGATAAAAACTGGAAAACATGGAGTTCAAGGAACTTCCAGGTTGGTGAAGCTGAGGAGATATGAAGAAAGTAGGGCACTCTGAAAGAGCACAGAAGCTCTGTCCCCTGTCCCCATACCTTGTCCTATGTATGCATTTCTTCCATTTGGCTGCTGTGAGTTACATCCTTTTATAATAAACTGGTAATCTAGTGAGTAAATGGGTTTTTCTGAGTGCCGTGAGCCACTCTAGCAAATTAATCAAACCCAAGGAGGGTGCTGTGGGAACCTCTGATTTATAGCTGGTTAGTCAGAAGTACAAGTTACAACCTGAATTTGTGACTGGTAACTAAAGTCGGGTCTAGGGATAGGGGTTCAAGTGGGTGGCTCCTTCACAACTTTAAACTTTAAAAGTACGTATTATTGTTTCTTCATTAGAAAAATCCCTATCTATCATTCCAGAATCACATCAAATGGCACTTCTTTGGAGAAGACTTACCTGTTTTTCCCCAAAGAGTCAGATGTCCCATTCATGTTCAAGCTCTCAAAGGCAACTTAAACTTAACACTGTATTATGACTGTGAGGTACCCGAAGATAGGATATATATCTTATTCTTCTCTGTGTCTCTACCATCTGTATAGTACCTGATATATATTGGGTGTTCAATAAATGCTTTGAAATGAATTAATGACTAAACTATGGAAAATGAATTTGGAGATACCTAAACTATAATTTTCAAATCTATGTAGGAACACTGAAAAAGACATATAACTTCTCATAAAAAAGTAATATTACAAAGTTAAATTCACATTCTCATCACCAAATATATAAAATATGTCTGCATGGGGCAATTGTATACTACCTATGTTCACCCATGTTTATATACTTATATGTTGTATAACCTCTATTCTGTCAGCTGGTTCTGCTTACATTTTTTAAATTTTAAGTCAATAGAACTTGAAAATAGGAAAAACAAGTTGATTTATTAAGGAGGTAGTATTTTTCTTTTGTTTTTGTTGAAATGTTGTTTATAGAACACCCATTCATGATTTAAAATGAGGAGTCTTCTTGAGATCCTTTCTCTCCCTCTCCTTCTGCCCCTCCTCACCATACATATGCTCTCCTTCTCTCTAGCAAACTTAGAGAAAAATTTCCTCAATTTGAATAAAAAAATCTACAAAATACCTACAGCTAAACATCATAACTTAATAGTGATAAAATGGACAATTTTTGCCTTAAAATTAGGAACAAGACAAAGATGTCCTCTCTCACCATTCCTGTTCAACATGTAGAAATCCTAGTTGGTATAATAAGACAAGAAAAGGAATAGTGGCTGTACCAGATTGCATTTCCACCAACAAAGCAAGAGGGTTCCCCTTTCTCCACATCTTCACCAATATCTATTATTTCTTGTGTTGTTGTTTTAGTCATTCTGATAGGTGTGAGGTGATATCTCACTGTAGTTTTGATTTGTATTTCCTTGATGATCAGTGATGTTGAGCATCTTTTCATGTGTCTGTTGACCATAGGTAGGTCTTCTTTGGAAAAATGTCTATTTGTGTCTCCAGCCCACTTTTAATTGGATTATTTGCTTTTGGGGTGTTGAGTTTAATAAGTTCTTTATAGATTTTTGGATACTCCCCCTTTATCAGATATGTCATTTGCAAATATCTTCTCCCATTCTGTAGGCTGCTTTTTATTTTGTTTATTGTTTCCTTTGCTGAACAGAAGCTTTATTATTTTGATGAAGTTATCATAGTTTATTTTTGCTTTTGTTTCCTTGCTTTAGGAGACATATTTAGAAAGAAGTTGCTATGGCCATTGTCAAAAATGTTGCTGCTTGTGTTCTCCTCTAGGATTTTTATGGTTTCATGTTTCACGTTTAGGTCTTTCATCCATTCTGAATTTATTTTTATGTCTAATGTAAGAAAGTGGTCCAGTTTCATTCTTTTGCATGTTGCTGTCCAATTTCCCCAACACCATTTGTTAAAGAGACTTTTTTTCCTTTGGATATCCTTTCCTACCTTGTCAAAGACTAATTGGCCGTATAGTTGTGGGTATCTTTGTGGGTTTTCTATTCTGTTCTATTGATCTATATGTTTATTTTTGTGCCAGGACTATACTGTTTTGATTACTACAGCTTTGTGATATAACTTGAAGTCTGGAATTGTGATGCCTCCAGCTGTGTTTTGCTTTTTCAAGGTTGCTTTGGCTATTGGGGAAAATAGTATGGAGGTTCCTCAAAAAGTTAAAAATAGAACTACCCTATGACCCATCAATTGCACTACTAGGTTTTTACCCAAATACAAAAATACTAATTCAAAGGGATACATGCACCCCAATGTTTATAGCAGCATTGTCTACAATAGCCAAACTATGCAAGTGTCCATCAACTGATGAATGGATAAAGAAGATGTGGTATATATACATACAATGGAATATTAGAATATTACTCAGCCATAAAAAAGAACAAAATCTTGCCATTTGCAACAACATGGACAGAACTCTAGTTCTTTTTTTTAAAGATTTATTTATTTATTTATGATAGATGGAGAGAGAGAGAGAGAGAGAGAGAGAGAGAGAGAGAGAGAGAGGCAGAGACACAGGAGGAGGGAGAAGCAGGCTCCATGCCGGGAGCCTGACACGGGACTCGATCCCGGGACTACAGGATCGTGCCCTGAGCCAAAGGCAGGCGCTAAACTGCTGAGCCACCCAGGGATCCCCTAGAACTCTAGTTCTAAGCAAATAAATCAGTCAGAGAAAGACAAATACCATGTAATTTTATTTATACATGGTATTTAAGGAACAAAACAAATGAACAAAGAAAAAAAAAGAGAGACAGACTCTTAACTATAGAGAACAAACTAATGGTTTGGTAACTGATGGTTACCAAAAGGGGAGGTGGGTAGGAGAATAGGTGAAATGGTATTAGGGATAGGAGTGCATTTGTTGTGATGAGCACTGTGTTTTATGGAAGTGTTGAATCACTATATTGTATACCTAAAATATTACACTGTATGTTAACTAACTGAAATTTAAATAAAAACATGCTAACTAGTAAAGTGGCATTAAAGCCCTCCCCAAAAGGAAAGGAAATAAAAGTATACAGATTGGGATGAAGAAATGAAATTATTTTTAGTCACAGATGACACGTTTATGTAGAAAATCCCAAAGAATTTAAAACAACAACAACAACAACCTGGAACTAATAAGCAAGTATAGCAGGGTTGCAAGATACAAAGTTAAGGTATAAAGTTAATTGCTTTCCTATATACCAGAAATGAACAATTAGATTTAAATTTTTTTAAATACCATTTACAATAATACCCCCAAAATGAAATATTTATGCATATAAATCTAATAAAATATGTATAGGATTTATATGCAGAAACTATAAAACACAGATGAAAAAAATCAAGGATCTAAATAAATAGAAAGAGATTCTGTGCTTATAGATAGAAGGAATCAACATTATTAAGATGTCAGTTCTTCCCA